ATGTATGTATGTGTGTGTATGTATGTATGTATGTATATCGTCACGTATGTTGTAGTTTATATCTAGTATATTTTCAACAAGGGCACATCGTCGGGTGTATACTTTACAGTAAGCCAATCGGAGTCGACACACGGACTTTGCATTCCCAGTTCATTGTAAACTCACTGACACGCGTCATACGGTCCAAAATGCACACAGGGCTCAATTTTCCAGGCTGGATGAACATCCCATTCTCTCAACTTTTCTGTGGGTGCTGTGTGAAGGAGGATAACCAAACGTGGACCGATGATTTCGAGCCTATGTTGGAGAGCGAGGCCGAGTCTGTTCAATACTTGCTGCAAAACATAGAGCAACCGCATGAGCTGTTAGGCGACAGCACAGCCATTTTAGCTTTACAAATGCTGAGGTATGGGAACTGGCTTCGGCAAGGGTGCAGCATTTACCTTCATTACTTGGGTTTCGGAAATATGTGAGAGGCTTTCTACTACTCCCCACATGCTTTCTGGCTCGATCTTATGGTTAGATATTGCAATATTCCGGCCTCGAATGTGTTGGATCGGGTATTGTTTCTGAGTGTATTCTCGTAGCTGCAGATGTATGTACGTCCCTTCGGCTTCATTCCGCACGTGTTCAAATGCAATGAATTGGTTTCGTAATTGTATGTTGTATCCCGGCGCGTCTCAGTGTTCAAGTCATGCGCGAAAGTCCACACTCCTGTCCAGCACTCACTCGACATGGACATCCAATCTCATTCAATGGCACGGTGGCCTCGATGCTCTCACTTGTCATCAGCTCTTACTCGTGTTTATAGATATACTTCGCAGTAAATCTTCTAAATTGATGTTTATGTCTCACAACTCGCATATAGACGCACAGTGATTCCATACACTCGGATTTCGTAGTGTCATGTCTTAGTTTTCTCAGGGCATATGCCAAGTTCAGTATCTTATCTCACACATGTATCGTATTGTGTTTCAGTTCCTCTAGCAATATTGATCTGCAACGGAGTGCTGCTTTAACGTATGCGGAGGCTTCCAGCGGTAAGTTTGACGCCTCACTCTGGGCCTGAATCCTGCAGTGCTTTAGGGGTGCATATCATCCAGGCATTGAGCTGACGGGACTGTAGTTCGACTGTTTGACGATGCCGTGTGCGCATGTGGCACATTCAAGGGCACATTCATGTACATGGCGGATAGACCGACCTTATTCGGTTGTGGTGTTGTATCTGCTCTGCAATGCACATGTCCTGCGTGCACAATCGGAGCCTTTTATCTGAACATTTCATTGGTGCTTGATCGATTCCAAGGCCATGTGTGTGTTTGACAGCTTGTGATTACGCTCGTCCGTATGCCACTGTACCAACGATGGTATGTATAGCGGCACAATGAACGCTACTGATATTAGGGTGCACTTTTAAGTGAGTGATGACTCTTCTCGTTATACCCAGCCCAGCTTGGTACCATGTGTGAATTTGTAGATTTATTATCGTTGTTTATATATAAGTCCAAATAAAAGTACCATAGCTCTGATGCATCCTCCAATACTTCACAGTGACGGATCTGTTTCTCGAGGATGACGAGGCCTTGGTTTCGCCTCTGATGCGTTTGGCTCGATCGCGCGACACTTGCGTGCTGCGAGCCGTCTCCGAGTGCTTAGCCAACTACTCTCGCACACCCAGCAACGCGGATCTATTAATAGAACGAGGCGTCCTCAAGTGTATAGCCAGTATGCTGGGCTGTGAGGCCCCCGAGGTGCATTGCAACGCCTGTGTCTGTCTGTCACAACTGGCGGAACACGGTATGTCTAAGGCACTTGCTACTGGCAGAGTGAAATAGCTCCATATAGAACACGGAATATATGACATAGGATAGTCTTATATTCATGTACATCGTTGTTCTCCGAAGCATCGGTATATACAAATTGGAGAATAGTCGTTGTGCGCTAAGCAATTGAGTGAAGTTGTGGCGTGTGCTGTGTGTGCTAACAATGTACACACACACACACACACACACACACACACACGCGCACATACACACACACACACACACGCACACACACACACACTCTCTCACACACACACACATATATATATTTATGTTATATATATATACACATACACACATGTATATATATATATATATATACACACACACACACACACACACACACACACACACATATATGTGTCTAGGTATTACTCATATTTTATATATATGTCTATATGTATACATGATATATATATATGTATATATATATATATATATAGAGATATATATATCTATATATATATATATATATATATATATATATAT